AAAAAAATGCACATAGACGAATATGCAGTGTTTCCAATACATGGACGACAAATTATTCGTTGGTCAGCTTAGGCAAAAAGAATGATTATAAATGTGTCAAAAAGACTTGGCTACAAAAACCTATTTTATATTTTAATTACGTTCGATTTGAAAACCAAATTCTCGATAATTTTTACCTTCCGTCCCGATATTTAGCTCATTCGACCTGGCAACACTAATACACATATAGAGAAAGACGCTAGTACGCGTACCTTGAAAAGCTACCGGTGCAGTCAACGCCGTACTGAATATTACAGATGCTGGCAGCCATTTTATTTGTTTAAATGTGAATATGAATGTGGCAATTAACATGAAATGTAAGATGATTTTTATTTTCAAACTAATGCACATCTATAGTTATACATTGAGGTGTCTGTTTGTAATTTCCAAATACCAGCCTTTTACTAAATGTATACGAAAATTTATACTGTATTTATAACAAAAGACAAACACAATTTTTAAAATAAATTGCCTGTCTGTCTGTTCCAGCTTATAGTTAACACTAGCAGATAGCTGATGGTATAAGGAGTAACACAGGCTACTTTTATTTTAGAAAATGAATTAGGATTCCGCGCAAAAAAATTGAAACCTATAAAATCCAATCGTAATAAACACGCGAGTGAGGTCGCGGGAACAGCTATTATGTAACTATTATGTCATAATTTGTATTAAACTTTAACTTAATTTTAAATGTATTGTAGTTTATAAAGAAATATGTTTTGGTTTTAATTTTTATATCGATAGTTAATCGATAATTTTTGCTTTGCTTTGTGTTTCGTTAATCGTCTTCTTAAAATCTATTTAACAGCCTTTCCATCTCTAGACACGCCTAATTGTAAGCTGTCACTCGCTACCATTCTATAAAGCAAATTCTATAACTTTTTCATATTTCCGACGTTTTGAGCACTATACAGTACCCATACAATTTGTTATCTATGGTAACCGCGGTTAATTATGACATCTGGACCTTGAACATCTCAGTCCCCTCCTAGACCATGGGCGTTGTAAAATGCTCGAAACGTCGGGTATATCAAAAAGTTAATATACGCGATAAAATCCCTAAAAAATAGTATTATTTAAATGGGTAGTGTTCGCGTAAACATAAGAAATCATTGATATATTGCTTGTTCAAAATTATTATTATTATATGCTTTTCTTTTTGTCAATTCGATAAGCCCAGCAACACCTGCAACCCACTTCAATCGAATAACTAACAAATATGTAGTCACTTCGAACCGAAATATAAGTGTAGGTGCATTGTTATTAAAAACTAGAAATAAATAAAGTGGTTGAGACAACGCATATAGCATTAAACGCAATAGGCTCTAATTTTATATTAATTTATGTTGATTCAGAAAAAATTAAAAGAGTGAATAAATGATATTGTGAAGGATCCAATCTTGTAACGCAGAGTACTATTTTTTATTCACAATGATTGACTGTAACTAAATTAATAATGTAAAATCTTTACATTAATATAAATAGGACCCTCGCACTAAGTATTTTTTACGTTGTGTAGGGGTTTCCTAGTGCATATGGACAAATATCCAGACCCGGAACAATTTATTGTAGGCTCAGTAGTCATGTTCCGTGTGGGATTGAAATCTGCGGCTTTCATCGCTGCAGTTAAACGCGTTCTTACTAAGTAATGCTAGATTAATATATATTATTGGATAAATTAAACTAGTAGTACACAATCATCACAATTACAATAAAGTTACTCACTCCTGAAGACTAAGATAGAATACTTCGTATCCAAAAAAATGGGTCTCCGTTTCTCTATATTCACCATGCAAAGTACAGCAGTCGCTGCAATTTCACGCTGGCCTTCTCTGAGGCTTTGGTCTCCGGTCAAGTCAACCCATTTGTGCTAGAATCTTAATATGGATGGAGCATGGCTCTATCACGTTTAAAAATGAAGAAATAAAAGAGCAATAATCAAACTTTTCGCGTAAAAGTACACCCAACATCCCACTGTCACAAAAGTCTTTTATTTCAGAAAGCTTTTGGGACAAGGAAGTATCCAACGACCTGCCCCAATGCGGGTTAGCGGATTTTAAATGCCGTAGAAATATTTTCTATTTAACTTTTCAGAAATGCAGGTTCCTTTACGATTTTTTCACTTAAAATAAACAATTTCATTATTGGCGGTAGAAATTGAACCTGAATTTGCGTGTATTGTGAAAACGCCAAGCGCACAAAAGGTTACTAAAGATTTGGACTTCGTTATGTGATGGTTTCATAAATTATTCAATAAATTTGCCATTTTAAACTGAGAAAAGGGAAAAGGGACTCATTTTAAAGTAACTTTTGCTATAGCTTAAACTTTTACATGTACACAACTAATTGCCGTTTGTTAAGTAACAAAAATCTAATAATAACAAACAAATTTAAAATTAAATATATGAATAATAGCCACCCGGCTAGTAGTCTCGGCTTCGCCTGTATAGTTATATATTTTTTAAAATCTTTAAGTTTATTACATAAAATATAGCTTAAGTTTCTCCTGAATCTATATATGAGGCATGACATTGTCCAGTGGGTTTTACTGATATAGTGGGTTACAATTCCCCATTATTTGTCTTTTTCGACATGATAGGCAATGAACACAGTTGACACATTCATTCATTTTGTTATGAGTAATGCTGTTTCTCATTGTCAGTCTATATGCCGTGGTAACTCATTAGACAAGGGTTCGCCTTAATTACATAGTTCGCGAGAATTCGATCTAATATTATATTAAGTGCGTATTTAAAACGTACTTGACGTTAAACGAAATGTTGTGAGCCGAAGTATTTATATCTAAATGTTTTTATTCCTCAAAAATGCAACCCTCATTTCTGTGTGCCTTATGAATGATAAAAGGTTAACATGTTCTTCTTCAAACCTATCGAGGAGCGTATAATGCTCTTACATATTAAATTATACGAACCATCTTGCTTTAAATGATTATTTTACAACACTAGACTGGCAGTCCATGACCGAAAGAAAAACACGAAAAAACAAAACCCTTTTTTAAGACGTCAGAGCTTGTAAACATATTATAATGGCTGAATTTCAAAGTGGAATGAAATAGTGTCATGAACAGTAATTAAATTCATAAAAAGTTAGAGCAAACATATTCAGGTATTATAATTCTTATATAACTAACAATCACGAGAAGTGGATTGAATCAACTGCGCACTTTTTAATTTTAATACAAATATTATTGCTTTATCATACATTATAATTTAATTAAATTCGAATTGCCACAATTTTCATTTTTGTGCGTGAAAAAACTATTATAATATGTATAGAATTTGAAATATGTTGTTGAAATTTATGTGGGACAGGTAAGGTTTTACTCTACTAATACAATTATTGTACTTGCCTTTGAAATCATCATGGTATCATACACATGTATACATAACACCTTGAGCCATACTGTGTATAGAAAAAAGACCCATACAGATAGATATTTAAACGGTGATTCTCACGACCATCCTTCACAGTTAGCTACCGTGGGTAAATCTTTGTTTCAGAGAGCACGAGAGATCTGTGACAGTAAACACCTGGCTGCCGAGCTCCACCATGTCAAGCAAGTTTTGCATGACAACAAGCTTCGAGTCCCGCGCCTACGTCACAGTGAACGAGTGAAGCCGGCCACAGTCGAGCGTGTACCTGCTGTACTGCCATATGTTAGAGGAGTCACTGACAAGATTGGCTACATCTTGAAGCGCGCTTCCATCAAAACATACTTCAAGCCGCTGAAGAAGATTGGTCAGTTTTTACCATCAGTCAAGTGTAATGTCCCTCTGCAAGATGCAGGAGTGTACAAACTTGATTGTGAATGTGGTCTCTCCTACATAGGACAAACTAAAAAGATCAATAAAAACCCGCGTTAAAGAACATATAGCTGATGTGAAGAATCGACGCTCCGGGAAGTCTGCAGTCTGTGAACACGTACAGGATCGCCCCCGTCACTACATCAGATTTGATAGACCGCAAATCCTCGCTAAAGAACACCGATTCCTTCCAAGGATGATTCGCGAGGCTATTGAAATCAAAAAACATCCTAATTTCAATAGAGAAGATGGCTGGGTGCTACCATCTGCTTGGGATCCTATAATAAATAAAATTAAATCCCAACCCAAGCATACAACTGCAAGACTTCAAGATACCATAAGTTCATACTGCATAGATCGGAACAAAAGTTAAATTTTAATCTATGGTAACCGCGGTTAACTATGACATATGGACGTTGAACATCTCAGTCCCGCCCGTGACCATGAGTGCTGTAAAGCGTTCGAAACGTCGGGTATTTAAAATGTTAAATATATGCGATAAATTCCGTAAAAACTAGTATTATTTCAATGTGTAGTGTTCGCGTAAATATAAGAAATCATCAGCAATAGCATTTATGCACGTACTTGTATCACTCTGTGTGGGGTCGAATCCATGACTCTTCCCTCCTCAAGAGCGAAATTATCGGCATTTTCAGGAATCCGATGATTTCGCTTAATTACACACAGTTTATATCTAATTATAATTACAATACAGAAAATAATTGGTAGAATTACATACAAAATTATCGTTCCTAAACTCACACTTTTAACGTTAATAGCACTTGCATTTTCACTGAGATTTATTTTGTTAAATTTCACTAATTGAACCAATTGTTTAGTTTCGTCTAGATTTATACCTTTTAAACTCACTTCACTGACAATGTGAGGCTTCGAAATCTTCAGTTCTGGTAAGTTAGTCATTGGGTAAATTTGGTAATTTAGGTCATCTGAAGAAGATTGGTGGTATTTAAAATGAATATTTCCAATTTCGCCTTCACAGAAATCGTCTACGGTGATTATGTAAGTACCACATAACAGTTCATGAGTGACGTCATTGTCGCACTTTCTGGTAAGTATCCTATGGCTTCTCACATATAGTATCCAGCTTTCGTGGCTTATTCGTTGGATTTTGGGATCTTAAATGTCCACAGTATGCTGTTCACAGGCATCGAGGTTTGCTTGAAACTCCATGAGCTGTTCCTCGTAGCTTTGTTCTGTATGCAGCAGCACATCGTCGTTATTGCACAGGAATTGGTTGTCCAAAGCAATTTGTTTACAGGCTCTCGGGACTGGCAAGTATTCTTCTTCTTTTACCAATAAGTATGAGTATTTGGGAAGAACTATAATAGTTTTGTTTGCAATAGCAATTGGCAATGAATACATTTTGAAATAACTATATGTTTTATTCCCTACTAAAGTGACCTCTAAGATAAACGTGATCTGGTTTCCTTTCATAAAAGCCTTAACCTTAATACAATTTTCTAATTTAACTAAGTTATTTTCATTTACGGGATATAACAGATATACAGTTGTCGCGATTGATTCTAATAAATTTAACAATTCCGTAGAGTTGAAAATTGCTTGATGCAGAACAGATACCTTACTGAATGCTAGTGCAGTTTCAATTTCTCCTAGTATTACGTTAATAGTTCTAAAATAACTCAAAAACATGTCAAACATACCTAGGACATAGATAGAATAAATGGAGTTTTCTTCTTTTGTAATTGGGAATTTAACAATTCTTTCAATTCTCTTCAAGCGTTCATCTAAAATTAAAGTATTGTTATGTAAGGTCTCTGTACTGTTGATGAAACTATCCAAGATTTTGGAGACTAATGTAATTCTCTTATCCGACACGACCTGATTATCGTTTAGTTTAGAAATCAATGAGTCATATCGGATGGCATCATCATGATCCAAATTTCCAGTTACTACTCGTATTTTTATCATAGACCCAAGCGGGTCAATAATGCCTCTTTTAAATCTTTTCGATGGTACAAGTTGCCGAAATTTTTCTATAGTTGTATCTCTTAAATACCCTACATGTGTTCGAATAGCTAAAAATTCATGAATATATGGTTTATTAACATCCATCAACGCAATGAATTCGTCGTACTTTAATATACTAAAATCTAAATCACTACCTATACCTTCTAAGTTTAAAGTTTTAATAATAAGCCAATTGTCTATTTGCAATGAGCCACGACCCAGTTTGACAGGCAGGATTCCTGGGGTATTTTCAAGTTTTCGAAGTTGAAGGGCCCATCCTTTCCGAACCATCGTCAGAATTATTATACACCACCTGTGGAGGACGTTTAATGTTTTTAATTGGCACTGAAGTATTTCTATTACCAATCCTAACAGGAACTATATTTCTTTCTATATTACCACTAACGACAGCTTTCCTATATCTCGGTTTATCTTTACTTCTTCTTATGTTAGATTCCTTGGCGTATATAACGTCTCCTATTCTAAAATTTCTATCTGTTTCGCCGCCCTTTTGTTCCCTTACCTTTTCCTTTTTCTCTAACATTTTATCTGATATGTAATTATATGATATCTAATACGTTTAGCATGATCTTTTAATAGTTGTTGGGTGTGCATTTCTCGAAATTCGCGGCGAACGTTGAATTAGAGTCGGTATGCCCGAAAACGATTTCGAAAGGAGTAAGGCCGGTTGTACTACTCGTATGTATGGTGTGGTTATAAGCCATAATTGAGTAACTCATTACAGTAGCTGCATCTGTACACTTTCGTTCGTATTTCGCCAATCTGTATATTTCTATAATTGTGGAGTGGAATCTCTCTAAAATGCCTGTTGAATTCGGGTTATTAGGAGTAGTAATGTGTATTAGTACGTTATACATAGTCATAAATTCCTTAATGAGGTCATTATTAAACTCACTACCGGGATCAGAAGTTATTTTTTTAGATGTTCCGTATATTGAAAAATATTTAATACTTACGATTTACGGTGCGGATCTATTTGAAATTTCGATAGCTTGTCCTAACTTACTAAATGCGTCAACTAAAGTTAGGTAATAAACGGATTCAATTGAAAAAATGTCCATGAAAACTTCTTGGAAGGGGGCGTTTTGGGTTTGAGTTAATTGAAGTAATGGTTTAATGGGTTTTCTTTCATATTTCATTTTTCTACAGGCATCACAAACATTAAGCACTGCAGCAATCGTCTCTTGCATGTTCTGCCAATAATAGTTTCTTTTAATTCTACTCATTGTTTCCTTTATTCCTCTGTGACACGTCTTTCCCTCATGATGTTGCAGTATGATTTCTTTTTGTTCTCCCTCATCTTCTACATATATAACACGCTCTGTACATTCAATAAATTCTACCATTCCCTTTTTAAATAACTGTATAATAATTTTAGAGAATTCTTTTCTACGTTGAATGTTTTCGAAATAAATAAAATATTTAATCTTGGGCTTATATACTCTTTTAAGAAATTTTTAATAAGATCTTCATTCTTAAGTGGGGCGAAAACTTCGAGAACCTTTTGTTTATCCCTGGATAAATTTCTCACTTGTACTTCATTTTTATGCCAGGTATAAACTAAAATTTGGTTAGGTTTTATGTCAATGGCCTCTTTTAATATCGGAATACCATTAGATTCTAGATCTTGTCCAGAATGTACAGTTACTATACTACTATCAGTAAATATAGGTGGTAACGGGTATTTCGTGTTAGTCTCTAACTGGTCGACGGATACAGTGGCGGATGTGTCAGTTATAGTTATTGTCTTAGAGTCGTCCTTGTTTTCAGTCGTTAAGTCCACAATATGGTCAGTTAATTCAGTCAGATATTTTTGCAGTTTTTGTTCTTTAGGATCCAGGTTTACTACCAATGATTGTGAGTCATCAGAGTCTATGGCATTTAGTTTTATCCGAGAGAGGGCATCAGCATTACTATTTTGTTTTCCGTTTTTGTATACAATATTGAAGTCGTACTCTTGAAGACGTAAACGCCAACGGGTCAATTTACTGTTCGGTCCTTTGAGTGAATAGAGCCAAACTAGTGGTCTATGGTCAGTATATATGGTGAACTTACGCCCGTAAAGGTATGGTCTAAAATGTTTTACGGCCCATATTACGGCGAGTAGTTCACGCTCTATTGTACTACATCTGGTCTCAGTGTCGCTGAGAGTTCTACTGGCATAGGCAATGGGCTTATCGGACCCTATTGCCCCCTGCGATAAGACCGCACCTAAAACAACAGTAGAAGCATCTGTAGTTAAAACATAAGGTTTGTCTGGGTCTGGGTATGGGAGTAAAGGTGCATTAGTCAGAAGTTCCTTATACTTCTGAAACGCATCAATATATTTTTGATCTATTACTATTTTATTTCTTTCCTTTAGGCATGCTATAATGGGCTGAGTGATTTTGGCGAAGTCTTTTACAAAGCGTCTGTAATAGCCAATCAATCCTAGGAAACTCTTGATCTTGGTAGTCGTCCTTGGTAACGGGTAGCTTAATACAGCCTGAATCTTATCATCGTTTGATTTAAGTCCGTCTTTAGTAATAACGTGCCCTAGGTATAGCACTTCTTTTCTCAAGAATTCTGATTTGTCAAGTTGTATTTTTAAATTAGTCGATCTCAATCTGTCAAAGACTGTCCTTAATTTTTGTAAATGCTCCTGGAGGCTACTCGAGAAAATAAATATGTCATCAAGATAGACAAGACAATGAATTCCTTGTAAGTCTCTTAGGATATTATCCATGGCTCTTTGGAAGGTGGCTGGAGCTGTCTTCAGGCCAAAGTGCATTTGAAGGAATTCATAGTGTCCGTTCTCTGTGCTGAATGCCGTTTTTTGTCTATCTGATTCGTTGATCTCAATTTGGTGGTATCCACTAGCTAAGTCCAAGGTTGAAAAGTAAGTACTTTTACCCATTTTGTCGAAAATGTCAGTGATATTGGGTAACAGGTACTTATCGTCCACAGTTATGTCGTTTAGACGTCTGTAATCGATAACCATCCTATACTTCATTTCACCAGATGCATCTCTCTTTTTGGGAACTAAATGGACTGGGGCTGACCAAGGGGAAGGGGATTCCTGAATCACATTATCATTTAATAGTTTCTGTATCTGGTTTTTAATTTCATGTGTTTGAGCGGGGGGTTGCCTGTAGGGTTTGATATAGATAGGGTCTTCGTTTTTTGTTCTAATATAGTGTTTGACTTCATTAGCAAAAGATAAAGGTATTTGATCGCTATAAAATACCTTTATATTCTCTACATAAGTGGTATATCGATTTTTGTTCTTCTTCCGACATGTGGTCTAAGCGTAATTTCTCTAAATTTTGCTCTAATATTTTATCTACTTCAATATCTGATATGTCTGTAATATGGTTAACTACACATCTAGTCGCTGTACTCTCTTCATATGCTTCTACATTCAATGGTCTTTTAATAGTTAATTTTATCGGTATATCTAAGGTATTCTGGATTACTGTAGTCGTATAACCATCCTTACATCTCACTAACGCACTAGGAATTCGCACACACTTACAAAATTCTTTATAATCGATTACAGCATTATCTGAATATAAGTTTGTTGGGAGTTTGACTCTCTGCTCGGAACGAGGAGATAACTCCAAAACGTAAGAAGATTTACTATGTGTTATAGGTATTACGGTAGTTTTAGTTTTAGGAATCTCGTTTTTTAAATCTATTACTGCTTCTAGGTTGCAAAGTATATCATTCCCAATTAAGCCATCGTACCTAGAGTCGACATTGTAAATGTATAGTTTATGAATATCTTTACAGTTGAAAATTGGTAAAGACGGGATTTGAATAACTTGATCATGTCTGCTCGATGCATGTGTGCTAATGACTTCGAATGGTTCGTGACTTATGCACTCTGTAAAGTACTTATAAGCTTTTGATGGACTAATGAATGATCGCGTACTACCCGTATCAATCATAAATTTGGAGTCGATTTCCGGTATATAAATAAACGGCAATCTCAAATTAGTACTACAATTTAACTCTATTTTTTTGGTGGGTTCCGAGGCTTCGACCTGAAAATCCTTGTCGTCCATATTGGTTGGGACGCCATGTGTTACTTCAGGAATTATTGTCGGATATTCATTTTCATAATAATCGAGCTCGGGGACATTAAGGCCACTGCTTGAGTACTCCTCATAGCAGCAGTTATCATAAGAAATTGGGTATACATCACCGCACGCATCGTCGTAATACGTATTATCAAGGTCGAGTTCATTTAACTGAAAGCCTTGTTGATTTGTTTTAAGGGGTGGTGCCGTTCGCATTGTGACGTCACTGGACCCAGTGTATTGATTTTTATTTAACTGAGGTTTGTAACCAAATTGTTGGGGCTTATAAAAGTTTTGTTGTTGGTTTCCAAA